CCACGCTGGACTGGTTGAACTCTGTAGGGTCTAAACTCTCTTGGTATTTTTAATAGATGTAAATAATGTGTTTGTAACATTATCATGTAATTATTTTGTTTATAATATTGAAATTGTTGGATAAAATCATTTCCTAATAATATATCACATTCTAACTTATTATAATTATATACTTTATTTATTATAACTTGTTTACTACCAAGTATTATATTAACTTTTTCAGCACTATCAATTATTTGAGTACTTTCTCCAGTCACTCCTGTTATTTTTATTTTACTATTTTTATTCCATGATTTTATTAAGAAATTTTTAAAAATTGATATATCACTTCCTGTATCAATTAAGGCACAAGTTGTTATGTTTGTTTCTACTATAGTAACTTATATATATATACTGTCAATGGAAAACTTATTTGATTATTCATCCACTTTCTATTTTACATAATGTAGTTTGTCCTTTATGAATTATATATAATCCTTCTCTTTTTATACTATAATCTTCTAATCCATTTAAGAAACTCATTCCTAATAATATATGAGGTTCAATATCCATACTTTCATCCAAATAACATGGTACTAAAAGATCAATCCCACCTATTTTTATTGGTACATTTACCTTTAATTCTGTAATATATAGCTGTCCATCAAAATTCCTGTATTCATATGGTTCTATCTTATAAGTCATTAATCCTTCTTTTCTATTTGCAGCCATATGACATTCACAAGCTCCTGTATCTATCAATATATTTGGTCCTTTTATATACCTTCTTCCGTTAAAATATTTTCCTTCTATTTTCATATTTCCAATATTTCCATGAGGTTTTATTTCTTTTATACCACTAGTTTCTCCTAAATATTCTTTTTTATTAGGTAGTTTAAAACTTTTTGATTTCTTTATCAACCTTCCATTATGAAATGTTATTTTATAATCTTCTTCTTCTCTTAACTCTGTTATTTCAGGCTTATTTAGTTATATTAAATTCATATTCTTCTGGGATAAGATTTATTTGTTTGTTTGATTCTACTATTTTACTAATATCCTTACATTCCTTATGAATTTCTATATAAAGTTTATTAGAATAAATATTCTCATAATTAGAATTAGTAAATGTGTATAATGCCCTATATTCCATAGTCATAATTTGATCTCCTGGTTTCATTATATCATTTCTATGTAATTTGAAATATAATCCTAAAACTTCATTAAAGTTTTTATCTTTCAATGAGACACAATATTTTGGGTAACAAGTAAATATTAACTTTTGATATGCTAAATTTCCTTCTATAGTTCCTAAATGACCATCTTCCAGATTTAAAATTCTTTCATCATGTAAATTTACAGTTAATGGTGAATCTATTCCTTCCCTAAATAAGGATTTAAACATTATTTGTATTCCTACTAAATAAACATATTGAATCTTTTCACTATATTTTTTACTTATTTTTTATAATAATTCTGATACTGTATTTTTTGTTAAAAGGTTTATCTTATGTGTTCGTTGAGTAGTCCTAACATCTATAGTTTTTTCAATCTTATGGTATTCATTTATTGCTATTCTTTCTTTTCTCCATATTCTATCTAGAATTTCCCATTTTCTTATTTTCAAATCTAAGGATAACTTTTGTATTTTCTTAAATTTATTATTATCAAAAGTTACTTTAAATCCATAACCTTCTATTCCCTCATATTCTTGGATTTCTATGTTATTATTTTCTATTTCTTCAATTTCTCTATTCAGATTCTGATCCATAATCTTCTGAATCTGTTTCACTTATAAATATTTCCTGATTATTATAATGTTCAATATCAGATATTTCATTTACTTCATTTTTTATTTCAAAATAATCCTTTTGTAATATTCTCACTTTTTTCTTTGTACAATCATGACTTATATGACCTATATCTCCACAATTCCAACACTTACATTGTTTTTTATCTTTCTTATAATCTTTATTTTTCTGTATATTATTTTTCCTTTTATAATATTTCCTTCCAGGTTTTATGTATTTTTTCTTAAAGTTTCTGTATTTTTTAAAGTTTCTGTTTTTATATTTTCTTTTATTTTTTTTTTCAGAATTATATCCTCATCTTGTAGGTTTTTCCATATCTTCACAAAATATTCTAGTTAATTTTCCTGATTTTTTCAACAATTGTCTTTGTTGACATATATATGCAAGTCTTTCAAACAAGAATTTTATTCTTGATCCTAGTGTTCTAGGTATTCTTATATTTTCTTTAATATATTTTTCAAATTCTATTTTAAAATATATTCCCCATGAATCTGGTAATTTATTATAATACAAATCTTAATATACTTCTTGATTCTCATTACTATAAAATTGGGTATAATAGTATTCCTTATGCAATTAAAAAATCTATTCTCCTTTCAATATTTTCCCATGTATCATCTTTATTATATAAAAAGAATAATATCATTGAGTCTGCCCAAGTTATTAAGGCTTTCTTAGTATCTATTTTGCAATCTAAGTCTAATTTTGTTCCTCCATGGTTAACAGGTTTATCATAATTATTATTTAATTCAAATCTATTACTATATTTATTTCCTTTGGACGGTTGTTTATTTCTTATTTTATCATAAAATTGTATATATGATTTATTATACATCGGAGCATAACTTTCATCTGGATCTATTGATTCTTGTTTAGAGGTTCCTACGGGATTAGGTCATCCTCCAGTATTCATTAAGATTTGGTATTCATTATCTATACTTTCTAAACTTAAATGATCAAAATTATCTATAAGTAGATCTAATTCTTCATTCATCTTCCTTGTCTTGATTTTCTTCAATTTTTTGTTTACCTAACATTTTTTCTCTAGATTCCTCTTCTTCTATTATTTTAGGTGATATATTTTTTCTAAACTCATCATCCATGCTTCCTGTTTCTATTATTATATTTTTCCTTTCAATATGTTTTTTCCCTATTCTGGTTATTTCTTTTTCTATAAATTTTTTTATCTATTTTTTTCTTCATTTTCTTTTAATTTTCTGACTTCAAGTTTCAATATATTTATATCATTTCTTACTTCTTTTATTTCATTCTTTATTTCTGGTACATCATTTATTAATGTTCTTATTAAATGTTTTAATTCTTCCATATGTTCACTGATTGACATTTTATCGATTTTTTTATTGACAATAATAAAATGCTATACACTCAGCATTGTTACACTCTTTTATCATTTTATCATATTTTTGTTTTATAACTTCAAAATTTGTTAGCTCTTTTAATTTTTCATAATACCTTGCCTTTTCTTTATACCTTTCTTGTTTTAATTTTAATATTTATTTTTTCTTGAGTTTTAGTTATATCTCCAGGTATTAATAATTCATCTAAAATTTTATTATTTATTAATCTTATTCTTCTTAACTTTCTTTCTAAAATATTTTTAGTTTCTTCCATTATATTTTTATGTTGATTCAAATATTTCTCTATGGTATAATTCATTTTCAAATACTTCGATAATTATTTCATATGTACGTTTATCTTTTATAAATCCTACAATTAATTTATGTAATATTTGTTTATTTATTTCTCTAGGTAAATTCCTAGTTACATATAATGTTATTATTTTTAATTTATTAGGGATAGGGTTGAAAAATATATAACATCATTTTTCTTCAATACATTGATAATAATTATTTATTTTTATGATTTCCATAATATTTTTTTTTTCAAATTACTATGAAATCTATTTCCCTTTGGATTCTTCCTAATATATATATATGCTTATATTCTTCAAATAATATCTTTTTAATTATTTTTTCTTTTAGTTCTAAAGGTAAATTTTTAATTACTCTAAAAATTTCTAATACTTTTTTTATATCTTTCCTATATGTTCCAACTATATTATCTTCTTCTATATAGCCTTCTATATTAGAACTATATTTTACCTGATACCTTAGTCTATTATTATAAGTTTCAATAATTTCTAAAATCATAAATTTTATTTATTTTTAATATCTTTTAGGTAATTTATTTTTATATACTTTCTCATGATCTTTATGGCTCTGATACCAACGAGATGGGTGCTACTATGAGCGAACAAAAATCTAAAAATCTAATATTCTAAAAATTCTTTTATTTTTGTTTTAGTTAATTTATTTGTTATTAAGCGTATATAAAATCTTAATGTAAAGTTAAAAACTAATTTTTATATGTTTGTGGTAATTTATTTTTTATTGGTCTTCTTATAAATTTTTAAGTAATTCTCCAAAGTCGAGTAATGTTTGAGAATTTATAATATCAATATCTGTTATCATGTCTATGTCTGTTCTAAAAGGTATATCGTATTTTGAGATATTTTTCTTCCTTTTTTCTAATTTATCAATGATATCTTGTATATCTTTTATGATTATTGATCTTACAATTCTTTTAACAAAATTTTCTAATAAGTTTTCTTTGAAATATTTTAATATTTCTTGTGATGTATATAATTGTTCTTGATATCCTATCTTATCAATTTCTTTTTCCAACTTAATTTCTTTTTTATTTTTAACAACCTTTTTTATATTATATGGTCCTCTCTTATATTTGGATTTTTCCATTTTATAATTATTCATTAATAATTTTTTCAAATTTTTAGAAAAATTAGTTGTTAATTTTTTAAGGACTTAAATAGAAGATTTTTATTTTGAAGTAGGTTATTTTTAATATTTGTTTAATGGTATTTTAGGTAGTTTTAAATGTTTGAAAAAGTCAAAGGTCATTTTAAAAAATGGCCTCTCTTATTTGGGTCAATTTCATGTATTTCCCTTGAAATTGTCATCAACCTATGGAGAACTTTGTCATAGAATTTTAAATAAAATAAACAACCATCAATACTTCTAATTTCCTCTAACTTTGCAAGGTTGAGAATAAATCACAAACAGTGCGAACAATGTCCCCATCGATAATTCTAATTTCCTCTAATTTTTTATCATTCAAAAATTATCAATAATGAACCTAATTTTCTCAGCCAGTCCACGCCATTGGAAGTGCTAAACTTTCCCACTGTCATGAAAAATTCACAACCGTAGATCAAACTCAGAAATCCAATCTTAACTGTAGAATTTAGGTCATTCCGTATATACATTTTTCATTTCTTCGCTAAGGTTTTACCATCACTCCGCCTTCACCCCTCAAACCCTAAAATTTCCAGAAATATAAGTTGCTTGTGTAGTTTGATCAATGGCGCCTAAGGTTTCCAAGGCCGAAAAGAAAATCGCTTACGACTCGAAGCTATGCCAGCTGCTGGACGATTACACGCAGGTTCTGGTGGCGGCCGCCGACAATGTCGGATCGAACCAGCTGCAGAACATTCGAAGGGGTCTGAGGGGTGATTCTGTTGTTCTAATGGGAAAAAACACCATGATGAAGAGGAGCATTAGGATTCACTCCGAGAAGACTGGCAACCAGGCCATTCTTAATCTAATTCCTCTCCTTGTTGTAAGTGATGACAAAGTTTTTTCATTGTTTTCATTTTTATTCTATTTTTATGGGTATTTTTAGTGTAATAAACGATTAAGAGTTTTATCTGTATTTACTGTGTATTTTTCGGGAAATTTAATATTGTGAGGAACAAATCAGTTTAATTTGGAAAGATTGATTGATTTATGTTTAGTGACGTGTTTGTTCTTGGTATGTTAGAAGTGAGATTTTAAGTTTGATATGTTCATTGTATTTTGCTAGGGAAATGTTGGACTGATCTTTACTAAGGGTGATCTGAAGGAAGTCAGCGAGGAGGTTGGCAAGTACAAGGTAAACTGCTTTTATATATTGTTGATTCCTATCTAATGGTTTCTTCTTCATTACTGGTCTGCTGTTGAAAGGCAACTGCTTTTCTTTTAAAATCTATTGTCTCCTTTTCATAATTGATTTTTATTGCCTTAATTTAGCATTGTTTACTAATTTCTTAACTACATAATGATAATAAACATTCATAAAGTTTCTGCTTTGGACACTGGATCAAATGCTATTATTATCTGATAGTGTGTGTTTGATAAATTGACTTGTATGTGTTATTGCTTAGTTACTATTGAAAATGAACTCAAAGTTTTCACCTTAGAGTTATATTTTATTTTTTTAATCCAAGTTCAAATTCTGAATGGTCATTTTAACTGAGCCAATTTCTAGGCTTGTTTGTATTTAGTAAGGTAAAATGATTTAAAGAAGGTATAGGATACAGTTTGACTTCACAGCTCTTTTACCATAGGTCATTGATGTTCAAACCCTGCATTAGAAAGGGAAATTAGCTAAGCCCCCAGTTTGGTTTTTAAAAAAAGTCAGATTTTTAGTAGATTTTTATAAAAGTTGATGAAATGTGTGCTTGAAAAGTTGATAAAATTTGTGGGTTCCATGAAATATATGGTTGAAAAATGAGTTTGGGAAAAAATGAATTTTAAGAAATGAAGGCTAAACAGGGGCTAACTCTAAGAATTCTTGTTTGTAATTTCTGGGATTGTCTTCTCTTCTGCTTTCGACTACCAAGCACATTAAGATTACATTCTATTGTCTTCTCTCATTTTGCTTATTATCTGAAATTCAAATGGAGTGAAGGTGTTGCTGAGAATTTTAGATTCATCTTTTTGGTATAACTGTTTGTAGATAAGATTCCTTTTCTTTTCTTTTCTTTTTTAATCTGTTCTGACTTGTTTCTCAGTCTCAATGCAATGGAAGCAGTGTCTATTGCTCTTATTTTGATTCTAACTTGTTGTTTGCTACTAATGGAGAGTAGAATTCTATTTCTCTTTAGCATCTTTCTTGTTTCTGCATTAATATTATTGGGGACATGTATGATATAGCATATGTGTGCATGATATTAGTCTGTCCTAATTTAGTTGAGATGAGGATTTTGCTTTTATAGATGGAGAATGTCAATACATTCTCTGATATTATTACTCTCAAAAACTTATTTTAAAATTGTATAATATCAAGTGCGATCATGCTGAAGGCTGCATGTCTAAATCTTTGGCATTTAAAAACATGTCTTCCAAGTTTAGTCTGCATTGTTGGTGCTAAAACTGATCTAAAATAAAACCTCTTTTTACAGGTTGGAGCTCCTGCTCGTGTTGGTCTGGTCGCTCCAGTTGATGTTGTTGTGCCGCCTGGCAACACAGGACTTGATCCATCGCAGACTTCTTTCTTCCAGGTATCCATATTACATTCTAATTGTGTTTAAATTTCTCTTTTTCTAGCATAATTGTTTCTAACCTGATCTCCTTTCAGGTTCTCAATATTCCAACAAAGATTAACAAGGGTACTGTAGAAATCATCACCCCTGTGGAGCTTATCAAGAAGGGTGACAAAGTGGGTTCTTCTGAAGCTGCTCTGCTTGCAAAACTTGGAATCAGGCCCTTCTCTTACGGTCTTGTTGTCATCTCAGCTTATGACAATGGATCTGTTTTCAGCCCTGAGGTGCTTGATTTGACAGAAGATGACCTCATTGAGAAATTTGCCTTGGGAGTTTCCATGGTCACTTCCTTGTCACTGGCCATCTCATACCCAACACTTGCAGCTGCACCACATATGTTCATCAATGCATACAAGAATGTTTTGGCAGTTGCAGTTGAGACCGATTATTCCTTCCCACTGGCAGATAAAGTGAAGGAATACCTTGAGGTATCTTCTGACTATGTTAATTTTCATGCTTTTTAGACCCTCTGCAGCTTACTGTCGTGTTACTCTTATCACTGTCTTTTTGTTAATCAGGATCCCACAAAGTTTGCAGTTACTGCTGCTCCAGTTGCAGCTGCCGATTCAGGTGCTGCACCTGCTGCTGCCAAGGAAGAGGAGAAGGAGGATGAACCGGCTGAGGAATCCGATGATGACATGGGCTTGGGTCTCTTTGACTAGGTTAAATGTCAATTATTTTCGCAGCATCTTGATTATGAATTTTTGTAGTTTGAGTCGATACATTATTTCCTGCTGTTCTTTTTGGTCCAGCTGATGTTTATTTGAGTTTGTATCTGAGATTTTAAGTGTAGCCAACGAGTCCCGGTTTGATTCAGTTTAATTCTGTTGGAGCTTGATGTCTAAATTGCTCTTTCTGTTTACGACTTGATCTAATTTGAGGCTGATGAGATACTTTGAAGAATTAAATTGGATAATTTAGGATAGAATATCATTACATTCTGTTCATACGTTATATCCCACAAAGCTCTCTTATTTTACAAACTTGTTGACTTTGTTTTAAAAAGAAAAAGAAAATATTAAATCTCCAACGAATAGTTTTGCGGCATGTGGATAAGCATTAGCACACGACAGGAGATAAAGTAGTCCATAGTCGACCAAAAAAAAAATAATAATAAGTTTAATTGCAAGGAAACCTACCCAATTCTGTATGGCATAATAACTGATAGCACATGTTAAGGCGTATCCCTTGTGCTCGGAATAGTGGCAATTGGTATTGACAAGTTAGTTCATTGATTTTTTCTTTAATTTCGTGTAGTACTGCTGCACAAATAGCAATTTTGGACCATAATAATGCATGCTTAACCTATGTCAAATCATTTTAGAGATGATATTTAAAAAAATTCATGAGATTTATCACAATATCAAAAGAATTAAGTTAAAGTGATCAAATTGATTGACATAACAATTGATTAATCCTCATATTTTGCATGTGGGTCCCACATAAATTGAATAATGCTGACCCTTCATGTCTGTGTTCAATCATCCTCTATGTCAACACCTATATTAATGTAGCAAAACCCATATCAAACTACCCTTCACTTTTAGGTTATCTATCTAATCTAAAATGAGTTGCTATACCTAATATGATCTTATGAAGGAAATATAAAATTTTCTACCACTAGAACGACTTTGTCAGAAATTGTAAAATAGCAAAATTATCATATACAACAATATATTCACGCGCAAGTAACAAAAATTACGAGAGGAAAGAAAATTATGATTGACATAAATTGGGTATTAAAAATTGAACTTTGATTCAGTCCATTGCCTATTAGTTTATGAAAAAACATCAATGTTAATTTTTTTCCTTCTACATAGTACATTAAGGTATTACCCAAGTAGCTTGTCTTGTTCAAGGAGAAAAAAATGAAACTGGAATATGTAGCGTAGATTGCCAAGAAAACTTTGTAACGAAGTTGTTACTGTTTCAATCCCTTAATAAATTAATGAATTCGTCCTACCCAGATTATGAGCTTGTTAGCAAGAGCGTTATAAGAAGAAAACCGAATTCAAATCAATGGTGAGGCAATTTTTTTTTAAAAATCCACAAAGAAAAATAATATATTACAATGTTGAGCTTCAAAATTTTAAGTTAATTCTTCTAGTTCCCTTCAAACACCGTCGTAAAGTATTGAACCTTCATCAACGGTGGTGACCCCA